TCGTGTACGGGAAAGATAACCTACAAAAGATATCGATGAAATCCATAATATATACATGTATATATATATGTATGTATGACAACTTTATTTTAAAATTTATTTGATCAGATGGTCCGCGATTGCTGCCAAATTGCCAGGACGAACAGACAATGAGATAAAAAACGTCTGGCACACTCATTTGAAGAAAAGAATCAACAGTAATAATAATGATATCATGAGACATGCCAAAGACAAGAACCCATCATCATCATCATCATCATCATCTATCGAGAGAGACCAAGGTCTCGGGAGCAAAGGTGGAGAAGCCATTGATGGCGGCATGGAGCGACCAACCTCGCCGTTACAGTCTGGTAACGACACCGACACCTCATTCGAGAACGTTGATAATAACAAAGAGGAAGGCTTTCCAATGTTGATAGATGAGAGTTTCTGGTCAGAGATTTCATCTATAATGGATAACAATTCTTTGGATGATAAGAAGATTGAGATGATTTGGACGAAGGCTAATTCATTTCAAGATCATGGCGATGATCATTATAATGATGACGATGACGATGTGAAGAATAGAAGCAAGGGTCGTCATCAGTCAGAGCTGTACAATAACGGTGATGTTGAATATTGGTTTGGTCTTCTCACCGGAGCTGAGGAGCTTTCCGACATCCCCGAGTTTTGATCTTCTTTGTCTTTTTGTGTGGACCAATAAATTAGAAAAGTCCATTTGCTCTCTCTCTCTCTCTCTCTCTCTCTCTCTCTCTCTCTCGTGCAAAACGTGGATTTCAGGTAGTGGGGGCGTAGATTCACCAAGCTTTTGTCGGCTTGATCTTTGATCATATCCTCATCAATAATTCCTCTTTAAAAAGAAAATTATTTATAACGAGAAAATAGCCTTACAAAAAATTGTTTTTCATTCATCCATAATAATATTTACATTTGAACTCTAGTGAGCAAATAATAATATTAATAATATAAGAAATAAAATTACCCTAGAAAACGTATATTAGAGCGGTTATAAGTGAATCAATACACTTTGCTTCTCGTTGTCTCACTAATCTTTGCTTAGGGTTTTATATACTGGGAATTGCAATATTTTTCCTCGTGAAAAATACAATAATTCAGTTTTTTCATGTGATTATATTAAATTATAACAAGTTGTTGATTACTATAAGCAAAAGTAAGCCAGGCTTTTGTTTTGTTCATGTTTAGTAAATAATAAATTTGATTTTGTCTAATATATGTAAGAAGCTTTTCGCCACAATCGTTGCTGTTTTCATGCTTGTCCTTAACGATAATCAAATAAATTTATCATATAATCTCGTTTGTATCATATTATATCAATAAATAGTAAATAACATATATATATATATATATATATATATATATATAATATGCATGTTTGCTTCTGAGTACTAGATATCAAGCATTGGTTTAAATTTCTGGCCACTTGCAAAAAACAACTTATTTAACTTGTAAAACTTGATATTGGCAACAAATGCGAATATTAAGGAATAAAGTTGACATTTTATTTGGTACCAAAAAAAAAAAAAAAAGGATAATCATAAGGTACTAATTAGGATAAAATTGAATATATAAACAGTATATATATGGAGCAAAGTTATAAATCTTTTTGTTGATCGAAATAGTAAAAAAAAATTAAAAGTATGATTGATTGTACATTATATATTAAATTTTTTTGGACTAAATTATATTTTGGCATTTTAATTTCTTAATTATATGTTCTTTTTCATTATATTATATAAATAGCAGTACTTTGGGCTACAAAGATGATAGGATTAGTAGTGGTATTTAAATATGTATATTGCCAAGGTCCTCATATCGTCTACTTTGGTGGCTCTCTCGGCATAATTTGCAACTTTATTTAGCTGCAGATTTACTTAATAGATTTGGAATTATCAACCTCTATTATTATATAGACACATGTACAATTGGGCATATAGGGCATATAGAGAATCATTTCTATGATTATAAGGTTGAAAAATACAAATTTATTGGATTAAATAGATTTTGCACCGTTAGTGTCAACAATTATTTACCTATTAAAATGAAAATTTTGAAAGTTGAAAAAAATTCGGTTGCCGGGAATCGAACCCGGGTCTCCTGGGTGAAAGCCAGATATCCTAACCGCTGGACGACAACGGATTTGGTAAGGACTATTTTTATATATATTTGCTAAGGCTCAGATATTATTTAATTTCATTTTCTTTTTGCGCTGAAAAGAGATGTAATTTGAACTCTGATGGAGATTGATCAACTTAAGAAAGGAAAACAAAAACATGGTTAAGAACCAACAGACAACAATTGCCACTCTCTGCCTCCAAGCTACAAACTGTTTCCAAATCGTCTTCTTAGATTCAAACTCGGAGTTTACCATAACTGTAACCTTATTGTTTTCCCATTGGCATCGGATTTGTGGATAGAACGGAAATAAACCAGGGTGGTGCAAGCAGGAAAAAAAATGGCAATCCTTCGTTAGGAACGACTGTTTTCACGCCTTGTGGTTTTTCGTCATCTCCTCCACATCGAGTTCTACTGCCAGTACCGACGAATCCTCGTGTATGGCGTCGCAACTGATAAAGCAAAACCCAGAATTCTTGTCACGACAAGATTTCAGGAAGAAGATGGTAATATATACATTCTTTCCTAGTTCTAAAGCAAACGCATGATAATGCTGCTGATAAAGGAAACGAGCCACCAACCTGTTATTCACCGGACCATGATCCACGGCTGTCCGGAGGCAATATATCGCTCTGCCAACTATGTCTCCCATGGAAATCGGACCAAAAGTACGACTGTCATAGGCTTCCTGTTAAAGACAACCAGGTTTATCAAGATTCATGCTCAAGCCAAATGTTTACGAGATCCATTTTCAAAGGTAAGTCACGTCTATTGCTTCAGTGCCACAAAGGATAAAGTTTAAAAAAGATATTTCGGAATAGTTTGTGATGTACCTTAGGTTTCAACTCCTGGTTTTCAGCTACAACCCAGCACTGATCATGCTCGAGAACAAAAGGTTCGTCTTTCAAATCAGTGGATACCATTTCACACCCTGGAATGGCTGCTAATCTCCTGACCAGATACTTATCTGATTTGTTCGGATCTTTCAAGATAACAGCATCTCCGACGAAAACATACCTAGCCAAAAGCATGGAATCACTAATCAAGCTCTGAAATAAAACATGGGTGACACAGTTACGCTGAAGGGGGAGATGATTTGAGTATATTTGAGGCTCAAGACAAGTACCTATACGAAAAATTAAGTAAAGCCGAAAACTTTAGTTTTTGTATAAAATACACAAAGTATTATCATAAGCTTGCAATAGTAATATCTTTTTTTTGGGTAATCGGGTGTCCTTAGCCGAGGTCCAGACTAATCCCAGGATCGGGAGCAAACCATGTGATAGTAATATTTACCATGAACTCATGGTAGGAGTAGTCTGTCAATATCAACGAAGTAAATTCAATTCAATCCACCCTGAGCAAATGCAAGTGTTCCATACAAGAAACATGATCCCACTACCGAGTTTTCAATAAACAAAACAAAAAGAACACTGAATTTGTAATCACTAGTGACACTTATCCACAGACTATAAGTTAAACTACCCGGGATTGTTGGACTGGTCTGATTGGGCACTAAAGTTGCGACAAGGTAAGTTCGAGGTTGGAACTCAAAAGTAAGAAATGATATTTAATGCCATCACATACCATACCTTGCATCAGGAATTGGTAGCTTTCGAACAAGTAGAGTATTTCCATGTGTTGCCATGGTTGGAGCCATCTCTTGTCCTTTATCCCAGTGTAAGTAGGTTAACCTTCCGTGAAACAGATTCTTACAAACTATACCAAGGAGTTCCCGATCACTGATCTTCTCTTTCCGATAACTCTGACATCAAGTAAATCGCGTATGATAAATAACAAAGATTCAATGGCACACTCTCATCAGTAAAAGTGCAAGCAATAAACGGAATCCAGAGGAAAGTATCTGCTGCAGCAAGTAGGACCTAGAGCAGACAGATCAAGAAACACCTTTCGGGTTATAGACTTCAATCGTGATTGAGTAAATGGAGTGATCCAAAATTCTTACTAATATGGTATCGTTAACGATACAGATACCATGGCGAATGCAAGAGTTGTAATCGACATTGCATATGCTAAATAACGTAACATTGAGTTCCTTCATAAACAAACAGTTCTAAACAGGAATTCAAAGAACCAGAGAAAGCTCAATCCAACAAAAAGTATGCCCGTTTCATCAAAACAAATTGTTCTTGTTCTGTCTCCAACTAAGGAGATATGAATTCATTTTGTTCAACAGCATAGTCTCCGAAAAGCAAATGTCTCAAACAATTAAGATTTTATGCATTACATTTCTCAGTTCATCCTAATCGAGTTTGAAGGGGGGGGGGGGAAAGACGAAACCCTAGACATTTCGATCAATTTCCAGACAAACCCATCGAGAACAGAAATCATAGACGCTGAAGAGAAATAAGAAAAAAAGTATAAGAGGAAAAAAAAAGCTGAATCGAAAGCTAGAGATATCGAAGAACCTTGACGCTGAGGGTGAGGGAGTACTCGAGCTTGTGAGCCAAGTATCGGAACCAAGTCGATATCGAAGCCATGGCCTGAATCTGAGAGAATCTCAGCCCCGATATGCTTCAATTAAGGAATTGGGTTCTTCGCGGTGCTGAAACAGGCGCTGTGTCCGTCGTCGTCCCCGCCACCGTGCTGGCCGCCGCGGTATAAATAGGCAAAACGCACACACAATGTGCTTTCTCTCGAGAAATATTTCGTGAAGGGAAAACTTCAAAAACTACCCCCCAACTTTTTAAATGTTTCCTAAATTGGCCCGAATTAAATAATATTACAGGAATAACCCAAATGAGTGAACCTCGTGTGAATTAAATAATTTTTCAATGTTTTTTTACTCTATTCCTCTAGGTGAATATCAGGAACGATAATAATTGAATTTTAAAATAAATCTACAATTTAGAAATAAAAAAATATTTCTAATGTACACGTGACATCAAAATCCCCTTCTAATGAACTATATATGTTTCAACATTAAAATTAAAAAAAGGTGTACACATAGGTTGTAGAGTATACGAACTCTCTAACACATGTACACTCATTATGTTCGTCGCCGCATTTGTACAAATTTTCTGACATAAAAAAAACAGAGAAAAGAGAAAAGAGAAAAAGCAGTTGAAAAATAACGAGACTAGTGATTTCCTCCACGAGTGTATATACAAGTAATATGCAAATTAATATAAATATATATATATACATACATATTTATAGTGTGTCTGTGCATATAAAAGTCTTCGTTTCATCACATTAATCACAAAGAAAAAAAACCAACAAAGAAGAAAGACGAGATTCTCCTTCCCACCAAGAACTGTCTTATCACTCTCTCTGTTTCTCATCGTCATCTCATCATCATCATCGTCATCATCTGCAGAATCTGATAAATTCAGAAGGAACAGCCAAGCTTGGTGCTTACGAAGGATAGATTGCTAAGGTGGAATAGGATACAGGTTAACACTTGTGTGCTATGTAATCACTTGTGTGCTATGTAATCAGGGAGAGGAATCGCACAATCATCTATTCTACGACTCTTCCTATAGCTCGGAAGTATGGTTACCTCTCGCGGGGAAGATTTGGCCTAACCCTCCGGTGGAACTCTCATCTTGCCAGACTTGGCTAAGGCGCATCATGGAGGCTGAAAATGCATGGCGAATAACACTCCTAAAGGTACTAATCCAACATTCTCTATATAAAATTTAGAAGGAACGCAATGCCAGAATCTTCAAAAACACTGCAGCAAATGCCCAAATGCTCCGAAGACGATTGGACCGTTCTGTCCGAAGCACTCTATTATCGCTCCAACAGGAACGCGACTGTGAAAGCAACACCCTTCTCCAGAAGTGGTATTCTTTATCTCTTGATCGAGAAACGTAATTATATGATCTGATTGGTTATGTATATATTTCATTGTAAGGGTTCTTTAGCGTAAGCTTGATTTGTGGATCTTGGATCTTGGACTATGTACCACCCCTTTTGATAAATATATCCAAATTTCATCCAAAAAAAAAAGCTTGGTGAGTGGAAATATATCTGTACAGAACACAGTTTCTCGTAGACGTGGTTCAAGAAGGGGCAGGAAGACGAGTTCTTGTCCTAGATTCCATCAAACAAGGTGATGCATGGCGAGGAATGGACGTCTGATTTTCAACACGTGGCATTGGTGGACTCACACCTCCGGAATCCAGCCGTACGATCTCCTCCTCCCTCTTATTATTATTATTATTATTATTATTATTATTTGTTAAAAATCAAATAATAATAATCGTGGGGTTATTTGGTTTTGTGCAGATGGGATTATATGAGGGAAGGGGACAAGTTATACAAAGACATGAACCGTTTGGTGGCATACTACAAAGGTCTAACCACATGGGCAAGATGGGTTGACCGAAACGTCGATCCTTCACGTACCCAAGTCTTCTTCCAAGGTGTTTCCCCTGTCCATTTCGAGTAAGCACTCATTTCCCTCTGTTTCGTCGGTCCATTAACCGAAACCCAAATCGAAATCAACCAACTTGTAAACGATGAACAGCGGGTGGGAATGGGACGAGCCATCGCAGTCATGTGGAGGGCAGAAAGAGCCATATATGGGTACGAGGTATCCAGGGGGATTGCCATTAGGTTGGATAGTGGTTAACAAAGTGTTGAGCCGAGTCAAGAAACCGGTGACGCTTCTCGACATAACAAGGCTGTCGGAGTATCGGAAAGATGCGCACCCTGGCTTTTTCAACGGTTTACACCACGATGGCCTTGACTGCAGCCGTTGGTGCCTACCTGGTCTACCCGATACTTGGAATCTTCTTCTTTATGCTGCTCTCAATGGATAGTTCTCGCCCTCTTTCTTAAGACCGTGTACCTAAGTTTTGATTTAAAGATAACTGTTAGTCGAAATCCAAATCCGAATCTGAAGGTCGGGTTATAATCGTCAACAGACCCATATTGATCCCGCCAATGAACGAGTTCGACTTGCAGGTCAGGCAATTACTCAAAATCTCAGGTTCTCATGTTTTACAAGGTAAGGCGTTCCATCGATGTCATCCACTCGAGTTTCTCAATCGGCCTGGCCAAACTCGGCCTCGCGAAAGGTCGAGGAATCGAGCTTAGGGCACCCGGGTGACGGGTTGAAATCGAACGTTAGGCATATTTGACTGCCTGGATACCGAATTCAGGTTCTGGTAACCCGCCGTCTCGGGCGGATAATGTACCCGGGCAAACTGGAAAATGGGGACACGAGAAAGAGGGTAAAGGAGAACCCTTTCCTTTGAATGCATTATATCCCAAAGACTTGTCGGAGAAACAGAGAGTATTTGAAGAAAACCTTCAAAATAATATATATTCTACGCTAAGAAACATGATAAAAGACATATAATCAACAGGGAATCTGGGAAGTGAACCACTCCATGACATGAATCGGCGCCTTTATCAACCCCAGAGCCACCTCCACTATCACCGTCACGCACAGGCAACATGGGCATATGCACGATAACAACAATCTGAAAAAGGGAAAAATATGTATATGTTCAAATACAATTCTGATCCCAGCTTCATGAACTTCAAATTCAAATCCGAATCAGTCACAACCCATACGGGATTCAGAAAAGAGGTGAACAAACTCGCAGATAAGAAAGACCATGTTAGGGTAAAGTTGCAACCTGATTCCATATGTCAAACCAAAAAGGAATATTACTTTGAATTATCGGAACAAACATGAAATCGATCACGGCAGAGACGCGGGAGAGGGACAGAATTGTCGAGCAAAATCACTTTTAGATGGAAAAACCCAGGAGGAGGAGGAGGGAGAGAGAGAGAGAGAGAGAGACCCGACGATCCAGATGAAGACGCCGATGATGGAGAGGAGGAGAGAGAGGAAGGCGAAGGGCAGTCCCAATAGGAAGCCCAGAGGGCGACAGTCTCCGTCACACATGGCTCTCTTCTTCTTCTTCTTCTTAACTGTTGCCCGTGTGGTGCCGAAATTGAAGGTGGCCTGAGTACTTATGTATACCGAAACAAAATGTTAATAAAAAAATGAATATAATAATACTTACCCTTCCGTATTAGAAAAGTTTGGTGGGTGGGACAGGAGGAGAAAATAATAAATAAATACAATAATAATGGGTTTGGTACTACGTAAGATTAGGAAAAAAAAGGCTTTAATAATATATATATATATATATATATAAGAAGGGGGAGGGAAGGAATCATTGAATAATGGTTTGCGAGAGAAGAGGAAAGCACCCATTCTCTTGTGAATTTTGATGCCAACCCTGTCTCCTGTGTGTCACTTTCCAAATACTGTCATTTGTCAACAAAAGTTAGATATAAGATTTTCTGAGCACTTCATCTCTGCCAAACCCCGAAACAATAATTATAAAAAGAGAGAAGAGAAAAGAAAATATTCATATTCCATCAGTCTGCAACTTGCAAAGGAATCCTGAATCTGATGCTTGAACCCTAAAACTCAAAGATGGAAGAGAGGAATGAGCTGTGTGTGGGGGAGAGAGAGATGCTCAATGAGACTTACAATAATGATATGATGATGATGTCTGGCTTCTCACTTCTCCACCTAAATGGACAAGACCAGACCAAACCCACATCCAACCATTTCTCCTACCATACAAATCCAGCAATCACTTTTTTCAATACCCCAAAAATAAATTTAAAAAAAAAAGATTTCATCCCTTCAAATATCTTTTGCTTTACACACATTCATCTTCTTCCTAAAAACCATCTTCCTGCCCACTCCTCCACTTTGCTGTACATATCATATTATCATCCCTTACATTAATATATTCCATCCCCTTTAAAACAACTCCAACCATCCTCTTCCTCTCTGTTTCAGAGAATATTATCAAGAAAGAAAAAAACTCACAATGTAATGCCAAGGCCACAGGATTGGGTTTTGTGCAACACCAACAGTTGGAAATCTCTGACGAACTATCAATCAATAACCCTCTCACAGCACAAGGGTATATCATGAGAGAGCCACACTTGTGCTCATAGGTCTGATCTGATCTGATCCAGATGATGAAAAGCTATCATTATCTGAATCTGCAACAAACATAGAGATTCAGAAGGAAAATTCACTTAAGCAACAAGCAAGTTAATGTTGAGATGTTAACACGACCGAGAAGAAGAGTTACCACTAGAAGTACTGAAATCACTAGTAGAGCTGTTATCTCTGCTTGCCCTGCTACTTGGCTTGTCTATTTGAGGAGGAAGGAATACTCTTTTGAGCTGGTGGAGTTTACAAACAAGGTGCAGAAACAGGATGAGTTCATCGTTATCATAAGACAAAGAGACGATTCCCAGGTAATTCATTGGCAACAACAGACATTTTACAGGTTTGCTGAGAAATTACCTGTTCCACCCTCCCTGGGGGCCCCTCTGCCACCCCCGGGCATGGTTGAATCGTATTCTTATCCACAGAGGCCACACCGAGAACATCTTGAACTTCAACAGCTTTATCAGAATCATTCATGCGTGGGTTTTCAGAGGGTTCATCAATTGAGGCCTTTGCGTCCCCCGGCGAAATGGTCTCTGGAGCCGCAACTTCAACAGATTGCTTCTCCGCAACAATAGAATCCACAGCATTTTCGTCTAGGGCTTCCGGAGGGTTTACGCGGCTAGTTTCGTTCCGAGCTTTCGTTTCTACCTCCGGCTTCTCGCGATCGTCGGCAACGGCAACGTTCGGCGTCTGTTTTCTTTGACATCTCCCTCTCCTCGAGTAAACTTCAAAGCTTCGCATCTCTTTGCCTTCATCATTTCCTTCTCCGCTAACAGGCCCCGAAGTGTACCACGAAAAACCCAAAATTCAAGCCCTTATCCCGCTCGATTTATGCTTCCTTCTCTTCTCCAGTTCAGATAAACAGAGATCCTCCCTCAAAACAGCGCAAATCTGATTTCTGCTACCATGAAAGAAAATGAAACCCTAATTTCCAGACGGAAGCCTCCGGATTGAAACTAGGGTTTCGTCGCCGGAAATCGTGACGGTGCAATAATTCCTCCGATCTACGATCCGATGCAATAGAAACGGAGACAACGGATCCACGCCGCTAAAACAATTAGGGTTTGGAGCTCGATACCTTTCCTTCTCCGGTAGCCTCTCTCTCTCCCGGGAACAGTACATAGCCGTTGTTATATGGTTGAACTTTTTCTCCATCATTAAAATACAACGTACATATAATGTTAGCGGTGTTTATCTATCAAAATTTAGGATGGGAAACTTGTATTCGTCATATAAAGTAATTTAAAAAATATATATGTATGAGTGCGTGTATATATATAATAGAGATTAATCATGAACTTCTTATCTAATACAATGGTGTGGGTAACATTAATCTCTAATTATATATTTTTTAAGATTTAATGGTATGTATGCTACTGCAAACACTTTGTTTTTAGATCGATCTTTTCCTTGAATAAATATTATCATAATGGGCTGTCCTGAATTTCTATTTTACTTAATGTGGCCCATTTAGTTATTTATGGAGTGAAGGAATTTATGATCCTTTTAGGCCCATTTCAGGCCCATTTCATACAGTTTTTTTTTCATTTGCCGTTGCTTTTTTATTTTTCCCATCTTCTTTTTCCCGTAGGTTAAAATTTAAATGACAAAAGCTGCAGTTAACCGTAAACGCGTCAGTGAATAATTAATCCAGGGGCACGTGTATTAATTACCAAATGCAATAATCTTGTAACTTTTTTTGTCAACTAATAATCTCGTAATTCCACGCAAGGCTTCCATAAATACGCGTAATGAAGTGATCCCATGGGTACTCCTATATATATTTAAATATTTTAATATTCCAGAGATGTATACGAATATTTAAATATTTTTAATTTTTGTTATTATGATCTTAACTCCTATATATATATATGATATATCATTTCGTTCAATGAGACATTATTTAACAATTCTTGTCATCGTCAAAAATCTCTCCTAATTGTTCTTGTTTGGTACTGTTAAACTGAATGAGATTTATTGTTTCCGGTTGCTTTCTGTCCATATTTAACGGAGCTTCATATCTAACATTATCATATTTATGCATACCAAATTAAAATTGGTTTTTATTATTTCACTTATGTTTGTATAAATTTTAAAAAAAAAATAGAACTAGTTTTATGTGTTTAAATCAAACTAATGCTCCATAAAGCCAAATTATCGTCTATTTATATACCCATTTTTATTTAAAAAAAAATTGATTACGTGTAATGTCAAAGGGAGGTCAACCCATACAGACGAATGGATAATATCTCCCGCAACTCTAATTTGAGACAAGGAATATATTTATTTATCTCAAAATCTTTGGGACAAACAAGAAATATAAACAAACGAGGTTTGATATGAACCAAGACAAGCAAGTAAAAGTGTAACATCAAAACCTTGAAACAACAAGATTATGTCGAGCCATGGCATACATAAATACTTATACATAGTGGTATATGTATTCAAATCGATCCACGGTGTCTTAATGATTTGTGTTTGGAATCTCCGAAATGAACATTAGAAAATAGGTAACATAGAGTAAAAACAGTGAATATATATATATATATATATATATATATATATATATATATATATATATATATATGTATATATGTATATATATTAATGGTGCTGCGGGTCGGGTCCTCCGGGAGAAACCCTGTCGGATTCCACCATTACTCTTCCTTCGTAACCTTTAATCTTGGAGAGATCGAACCCTAGTTTACGCAAAAGAATCCGACTATCCATTTCGTTCGTGGTCCGGACATGATCCCCACGAAGAACTCGAGCACGAGAGGTAAAGACATTGCCTGAAAACACGATTAAGAGCATCAAGAAAGCTTGTTTGATGATGAGACTTGCCATAACGGGAGATTTTGTTATCGGCTCAAGAGCTAATGGAGATGATCAAAAAGGTTTAAGGTGCTGTAGAGAGAAGTGAAAGCAACATGCATGGAGAGAGGTCAATTAATTTGCTATTTATAGATAAATACAAAACGCCCATCAATTAGGGTTTGGGGGTCAGTGGAGAGAATATGATGGGATCCACAAAAAGCCAAATCCGATTCAGATTTGGGGATTATAGTATTCATTCTTGAACGTAAACACAACTGGTGGATCTCTCTCTCTCTCTCTCACTCACTCACGCACAAAGATGGACTATCATATATTTGATGATATGGGGGTCTACTGATCCCATATATTATCATAATTATCATATTGCAATTTGCAAATATTTCGGGACCATTGGGTATTTAAAACGGTTGATTATGAAGATGTGATGTATAGGGTTTGCTAGGTGCTATAATAAAACAAACACTATGCCTATAACCCTAATAATCTTCAACTAGTAAAGATTCGTTTCTTGTTCAAAAAATTAAGTGATCGCACTAAACATATCTTGTTCTTTACCCTGAAGTGTTTAATATAAGTGTATACAACATTACTCGAGGCTTATGCTATAAATATAAGTATGTGAATAATGGAAAATGTATATATGCATACATTATGTTTTGAATATGTAGTAATGTTTTTTTTTATAAACTGATAAAAAAATTTGTGACACAAAAATACGAATACCCATATGTATATATATTTGGGATTCGTTGCATTACCCTAATGTATTCTATCTTCTATTTGATTTCATACTCGAAATCATTTCATGGGTTTAAAATTTTGGATAAATATCCGGATATCCTTAAAAAAATGGATAGCTAAAATGGCTCTTATATAAATAACGTAGATAAGCTCACTTCAATTGTATTATGAAGTAATCTATCTTGTAACGACCCGATGCCGCTACGGAATGATAGAGTTGTCCCCACACATCAACATGAGACCTTTTAGCGTGTTTTGTCTTCACTCGCACATATCCCGGAAAATATTTCTCAGGAGGTCACCCATACTAAGACTACTCCAAAGCCAGCACGCTTAACTTTGGAGTTCTCTCGAGATAGACAACCGAAAAGGTAGATGTATTTAATTTGTTGCTATGAGTAGCTCAATCAATTCCTTTAAGTTATCTTTGAATGTATAGTCTCATACTTACACAGTCATCGGATATCTCTCATTCCGGTGCGTTCGATTCATCCTTGTACCCCATATCCAAAAGTTCGGCAGGAATTGCTCTTTGTCCGTACATCTCACACCGGCGATCACTCTCCCCCTCCTATGGTATCATGTACTGTCACATATCTAAATATATATTTTTGTTCAATACTATATTCATACTATTTTTATCCAATAATTCACTTCGTTTTTTAATTATCAATGCAATTTCATATATTCGAGAAAAAACAACTTTTATGCATGCACCATCACGCTATATCAAACGAAAAAGTGACACTTTCGATTTAAATCGCCGACATTATTATGCCGTCTGTATCCATGCATATGCATGCTCCATCACCTAAGTTAATCAAGGGCATTAACCTCATAAACCCGTCATAAATTACATCGAATGTATTGAATTTTGCTCTTTATTATATTTTAGGCACGGTCCGACAAATATACGTATTACCCACATGGGATATAACGTCGGACCGACTTATATCCACATGCGATGTAGGTCCAAAACAATGTTTATCCACTCTAATATAATAATATTTTGCTACCTTTTTTTTTTCATATTCTTTCGTCGCTTACATATAACTATAATTTAAATTTTTATCTTATTATAAAATGTTCAACAGCATGCCCCCTTTTCTTTAAAAATCAATTTCTTTACCTCTATTGAGTGTATTGACATTATTTTTGTGTTGATTCTTCTGTTGGACCACATTTAAACAATCTAGACACGTATTTTTGTCACCCTTGATGCCTTTTTCAGTTATATTTATGTTTGGCTACCATCTCCATTTTGTTTTAATTAATTATAGTTTTGATTATTCAATGGCTTCTTTTTAGTACTATTGATATTATTGAAAATAACTGTCTGGACCAATTACTGATTAAAACTGTTGCAATTAATATGTTTCCAAATCATTATTTACAGTTACAATAAAAACACGCGTAAGTGCACATATATATATATATATGTATGTAGTTATGTATGTATATATGTATATATAAAAAGTATCACATTGAGTTGCAAATAAATATACTGGAAATTTACGGACAAGTAATTGCTTAAATAGCTTCACTATAGGGTAAGGTAAAAGTAATTAAACCTAAAAAATCCACTATTTGTTTTTAAGAATTTTTGTTGAAAGAAAATAAAACAGATAAATAAATGCATGAAAATGACAGTGAGCCCGTGGAGGGAAAAATATCTTGCCTCTCTATCATATCCCTTCTAAAACCTAAAAGGTCACCTAAGCGTATACTAGGTTTATATATATATATATGATCTCATCTTTAATAATTTGTTAGATACTTTAATATAATATATGATTCTGGCATTAGTGTTTCATAATTTAAGAAGATACGTTACATCGTGCAATGGCGGCGTTCATCTCTCTCTCTCTCTCTCTCTCTCTCTCCTCGACTTCTTTATGGATCCATGGATGGGTTTTTTGTGGTTGCAGGCTCCACGTAAGCGAATTTGGAAGAACTAAGACCAACGGTTTTTAAGTGAGAGATAGTGAGGTTCATGTTCATGTGATCCGAAAGAAGAAAGCTACAATGGCAAACCCTAGTGGCCACGTGCGAATTCCACGTTCGCCGTTATTCTTCTTTTATCTCTCGTGAGATATTCTCCTGTAATACAATAAGGTTGCGTATTTTCATATGCCCGAGTTTTTTTTTTGATACATGGGAACCCCGTGACTACCTACCATTACAAACGGAGACGAATTGGCCACCACCCGCGCCTAACAGTCTCCATGGACCTCAGTCCGCCGGACCTGGCCACCAGGCGCGCATAACGCTCGGGCCGTAGTTGGGTTTAGGCGCCTGCGGGTCAAACCCCAAATCCACGCGCACGAGTCTGCAACACACGCGTAGGAGGTAAATCAACTCATTATGATAGACTGACAGGCGAGCAGGTCAGAGGAAGGGAGACGGCAGGATTCGAACCCCCCACCTCAAGGAGTTGCCCCCTGCTCCCAACCAATTGACCTGGCCCCGAAGGGCGATATGCCCGAGTTTTCATGTATAGATTCTAATAAAAAAACATTTATTTTGGTTACTTATATGAATGTTACAACTACAAGGATGAACAGAGCCATTTGAGATTTATAAGGCACCAGCTCCATATGAACATTATATATATATATATATATATATATATATAATTTGCAAATATATAACACGTTATTTTTAGTTGATGCGATATTCTAAGAAATAATTCGAAATTGTGGGAATAAATCCTTTAAGTGCAATGCCGACACGTCACACAACTATTACCATTTATAACAGTGTATAGGTTTTTTTTTCTCTATATAATTTCAGAGGATTATTAATTTTCTTTAAATCGCCAAAAATATTTTAAGAACTTTGCCCTTCTTTTAAGGCCCATTGCCTCTCCTATATGAGCCCATCTAAACTCATCGGCCTTTCGGCCTAAACTAAATTATAATATAAATTATATTATATTATACTTTTGATATATTTAAATTGAAACGGTAGTTTCAATAATTAAAAAGCATTGTCTATTTAACATATTATCCCGTATAAAATGAGAAAGTCTATATGTAGCCTTTAAATTTAATTTTTTAAATGATATTAATTTTATATTATCCTTTTGAACCTTAATTACATGGGCCAATCTTTTTTTAATACCATTGAAAAATGACTTTATTATATTCAATTATTGAAGAGAAAGAGGTCCATTGAAACAAAAAGTTATTCAAATGAAAAGGTTGTCCCCTGCTTTAATTTGCTTTTTGAATAAAATTAAAAATTCGATATCATACATGCATTAGTTATCAAATAATATATGTTATTTCCGTTGTAACTTTTTTTGTTAAGGATTTCCGTTGTAACTTATAAAAATAGGTACTAGTGTAACGAAAATATAATGGATAGCGCATTACGTTTTCATCAATCTTTATATAAAAAGCTATATAGAAAAGGAATATTAAATATGGAAATAAAACAAAGAAAAAATCCACCCATCCGCCGCAGGGGAGAGTTAACCCAATGAATTATATTAATTAATCGGAAAAAATACCAAAACATGATACATATTGTGCTTTATTTGGATGTTTTGGTCGGTTTTACAATATAATATATATATATATATATATAATCATAAAACTTTAGAATGTGATCGGTATATACTTTATATATATATATAAGCCAAGTTTGAATGCTCTATTGGTAAGAGAATATACAAATCATTTTTTTATTCTGTATTCAAATCCAAACATGGTGAATGGTATGGTCGGTATTTTTCTGGTTATCTGGAATATATAATTAGATTAAAGACACGAAACTTTCGAATTATAAATATATATATATATATGCGCACATATTCAAAAGTCAATAAAAGCATAGTAATATCTTATGTTTTTGTTCCAGCTCCGAAATTAGTCTGAATCTTGATATGTAACACTTGTTTAACAAACAAAAAAAATTATTATATATATATATATTCAAAAATATTGTATCTAGAATAATGTTTCTCCGATCGGATGTTATAGCAAAAATATATGAGTGGAATCAATTACAATATAGGAAAAAGCGACTAACTATCAATTCGTCCCCACTTTGTTTTCATAATAGACAAAGGTTGCACTAATTACAATATAGATTTTATCACAAAAGATATAAACATACAAAAAAAAAAGCGCACACACACGTATACATATCTTATAATATTATAGAGCTTGGTAATGACTAGAAAATAGTATAAATAAATAATAACATTACTTTTACGGAAATTAATAATAATAATAATAATAATAATTATGATCACGAATATTTCCAACGACACCACGCCGCGTGCAGGAATGGGAGCTCCTGGCCCTCGTCATGCATG